GGGGGTCCAAGAACTGAGGCTCCATGGGGTGTGGGTGTCGGGGCGCGGTGGGGGCGCGGTGGGGGGTGTCGGTCGTTGTTGGACGAGAAATCGTGGTGTGGGGGGGTCCAAGAACTGAGGCTCCATGGGGTGTGGGTGTCGTGGCGCGGTGGGGGCGCGGTGGGGGGTGTCGGTCGCTTGTGGACGAGAAATCGTGGTGTGGGTGGGGTCCAAAAACTGAGGCTCCATGGGGTGTGGGTGTTGGGGCGCGGTGGGGGCGCGGTGGGGGGTGTCTGTCGTTTTTTGGACGAGAAATCGTGGTGTGGGGGGGTCCAAGAACTGAGGCTCCATGGGGTGTGGGAGTCGGGGCGCGGTGGGGGCGCGGTGGGGTGGGGGATGTCGGTCGTTTTTGGACGAGAAATTGTGGTGTGGAGGGGTCCAAGAACTGAGGCTCCATGGGGTGTGGGCATCGGGGCGCGGTGGGGGCGCGGTGGGGGGTGTCGGTCGTTCTTGGACGAGAAATCGTGGTGTGGGGGGGTGCAAGAACTGAGGCTCCATGGGGTGTGGGTGTCGGGGCGCGGTGGGGAGCGCGGTGGGGGGCGTCGTCGTTTGTGGACGAGAAATCGTGGTATGGGGGGGGTCCAAGAACTGAGGCTCCATGGGGTGTGGGTGTCGGGGCGCGGTGGGGGCGCGGTGGGGGGCGGTGGGGGGCGTCGGTCGTTTTTGGAAGAGAAATCGTGGTGTGGGGGGGTCCAAGAACTGAGGCTCCATGGGGTGTGGGTGTCGGAGCGCGGTGGGGGCGCGATGGGGGGCGCGGTGGGGGGTGTCGGTCGCTTTTGGACGAGAAATCATGGTGTGGGGGGGTCCAAGAACTGAGGCCCCATGGGGTGTGGGTGTCGGGGCGCGGCGGGGGCGCGGTGGGGGGCGCGGTGGGGGGCGCGGTGGACGAGCGCTTGTGGTAGGGTGGACCCTTTCCCGCACACGCCTCTGGGGTCGGCGGATGACTAACGCCGCTAGCCCCTCCCCCTCCTCCGCAGCAGCAGCAGGGCGGTTACACCCTCCAGGACAGGGCGGCGCGTCTCGGCTACATCCCTCTGGGGCTGGGTTGGACAGCTCTAGACAATCTCGACGATTCCAGAGGATCTCGACAATCTCGAGTGGTCTGGAAGGCTCTGGACTGGTCGAGGAAGCAGATGGGTGCCCTCGAAGGCTCGAGAGCTCTGGCTGAAAGGCTGCATGCTCCAGAGTGCTCGAGCATCCTCTAAGCGGGTTCTGAAAGGGATCTAGAGGAGTTTGAATGTTCATGGGTTTGTTCGATGGTTTCAGAGAGTGAGAAAGTTGAGAAACCATTCTAGGGGGCTCGAGCGGCTCTGATGGATTTTCCAGCGTGTTCTAGAAGCCTCAAGAATGAGTGTTTCTAGAACGCTCTAGTAATTGTTTGGAGTGTTCTGTATGGGGGGCTCGAGAGAGCTTCAGATTGATCAGGAAGGCTCGGATATTCTTGAGGCCCTCAGCGAGCACCACAATAGTTTCGATAGTCTAGGGGGATCAAGGCAGCTCTAGAGGGCTTTCAGAATGAGCCAGAAGGCTGTGGAGGATTGCGAAATGATCTAGCAGGCCGTGGGCACATGTAGAGGGCACTCGAGTGCCCTCGAGGCCTCCAGGTGGTTTTAGAAAGCGTTGAAGAGTTCGAGTGTGCGTCACAAGTCTCTAGAATATGTGAGAGGCCTTACGGCCTGTGCCGCCGACCTTGAACGACGAGACGACGATGTTGAAGCGGGTCAGAATTTTCAGGGATGTTTCTTGGGGTCTCTTCAGAGCGCTTTCGGGTGTCTCTGGCGGGTAATGTTGGGGCCTTTGGGAAGCCTCTTGGGGCCTGCTGGGAGGCTCCTGGGGGCCTCGTGGGGCTATCCGGGTGCATCTTGGGGGTTTCTTGGGGGCGTCTTGGGAGCTTCTTGGCGTTTCCTGGGAGCCTCACAGGCCGAGGGTTTGAAATGTCCGTTCGGGTCCCCCGTCTGGGCGCTTTCTTGGAGCCGTCTTGGGGGCCTCTTGGGCCGTCTTGGAGGGCCATTTCAGGGCTTTCTTGGGTCGTGTTGGGGCCCTCTCGGAGGCCTCTATCTTGGGGCCGTTTTGGGGGCCTCTTGGGCCGTCTCGGAGCGTCGGGAAGCCGAAAATGCGAAACTTTCTAGGAAAATCAATCAGTTTTGCTTCTTGGGGCCCTATTGGAGGTGCTCTTGGAGGCCTCTTAGGGGCCTCTTGGGGCGTCTTGGAAACCTCTTGGGCCGTCTGGAGGCTACTTTGGCGTCTTGGACCGATGGTTCGGCGACTCGGGTCCCTCTTGGACCCTCTTGGGGGTCTCTTGGGGCAGTCTCGGTTCGTTTTGGGGGTTGGGGGCTCTGGGACCCCCCTGGGGGGCGGCATTTTGACCGGGGACCCGCCCCCAGGACCCCCCTTTGGGACCCCCCCCCGGGTCTCCCACAGAACCCCCCCCCGGACCACCCCCCCGGCGGGGAAGAGATCCAGGGAAGAGGCTTCCGTTCGAATGAACTACGATGTTCGTTCTTGTTGGCTAGCACGCTTGAAATGAAGGGCCCAGGGTAAGAGAGGCAACGGCTGGCGCGTCGAAGAAGGAGACCCAGGAGAAAGTTTGGAATAGCAACGATGAGGAGACAACGAATGAAAGAGCCTCTTCCACACCAAGGCTCCAGAATATTCCATAGAGGTTTCTTGATGGCTCTAGAACTCGTGAGAAATGCTTTCGGGGTGTGGACACCAGGGGGCTCTTGTGGATCGTGGGTGTTCTGGAAGGCTGGACAGGGCCCTACAGTGGAGACCCATGCCAAGAAACACCCTGCTTGCCTCCAGGGTGCCCTGGGTTTCTTGGATTTCGACGGTTTTGCTATGGAAAGCGTGACGTTCCCACACCAAATATCAATGGACGTCCTGGGGTCTCAGGGTTGGGTTTCTTCTGGAAGGTTTCTTGTGGACTTGGCCTCCACTGTACCCAACCGGGTCAGATAATGAGATGGAGCGCTCCAGCACATACTCTAAGATATTGTTGCGAGGCTTCTAGAGTGCTCCAGTCGATAGCACCAGAGGGCCCCAGAAGAATTGATATACAATTCTGCAGAGGGTTCTTGAGAGCTTTAGGACGCTCTGGAAGGCCCAAGTGCCATCGAGGGCATCAGCTTGGAAGGGTTCTGCGGAAATACTCTGGGGGCAGCTCCACTGTGAGGAGCCGTTTCTGAGGTGGGCCCTCTGAGAAGAGCCTCCTTGCGAGGGGCCTCCGTAACGGCCCCCAGGAGATGTTCGAATCTTGTAGGGGTTGTAGGGAGCTCTAGAACCATCAGGAAGGCTTGGAAGCTCCTTGGGGCCTTGGAGGGCGCCGAATAATTCCGAAATTCTCAAAGGTTTCAAGACAGAGGGCTCCTGGACATATTCAGGACGGCTCAAGAGGATTGTAGAATGCGCTAGGAGGCCCTGGGCGGATTTCAAAGGCACCCGAGTGCCCTCGATGGCTCTAGGTGGTTCTGGAAAGTTTCGAAGAGAGTGAAAGCCTCTAGTGGGAATACTGGAAATAGTGGGAAGATACTTCAGGGGGGCATCCGAGGGTTCAACCGGTTTCGAGAGTAGTGTGAAGGTTGCAGAGAGGCCCCAGAGGAGTCTAAAAAGCTCTCAGGTGGGGGCGAAGAAGTAGCTGAGATTGCGCGGACGAGCCTTATGAGGCTCTGGAGTGTTCCATAGGGTTCTAGACTGCTTGGCGGCGCCCCATGAGTGCTCTAGGTTGTTTTCGCGGGGCTCGAGAATGCTCTAAGCTCTAGAACCCCCCCAGAGTTTGAGAATGTTGCAGTGGGCTCTAGAGAGCTCTGGAATGATCTAGAAGGCTCGAATGGTGCCGAAGGCGCTGAACGACACTGCAATTCTTTCGAATTTGTACAGCGGCCTAGACCGCCTAGAGGGATTCTCGAATGATCCAGGGAGCGTCCCTGAGGTGCGGCCTCTGACTAGAGCGTCTCTGCAAGGGGCCTACTTGAGTGGATCCTCTCTGATAGAAAACGTTATGAGAGGTCTTCTCAGAGCGGCTTCCCGCAGAGAAGCAGAGGAGAAGTGGGAGAAAGACAGAGAGAGAGAGACAGAGACAGAGAGAGAGAGAGGTGAGAACGAGATTTGCAAAATGCAGGGGCGGAGTCGACCCCTGAACCACTCACACCCGCACACGGTCGGGTCCTTCGCCAGGTTATGTTGTTTTGTCCGTGACGTCGGATCTGAGGGGATGGGGATTGGAAAAGGGAGAAAGGAGGAGGAGGAGGAGGAAGGAGAAGGAGAAAGGGGGGAGCGAGGGGGAGGCGGAGGGGGGGAAGGGCGAAGGGAGGGGTGAGAGGCGCGGAGAGAGTGAAGCGAGGAGAAGGGGGGGGGGAAGAGGAATAGCGAGAGGGAGGGGGAGGGCGATTACTCGTTCGAGGCACGGGGTGCCCCCCCGAGGTCGACACGGACGACTGCGCGTGGTGCTTGGCGAGCGCTGGTTCAGAGCTGCAGGTCGTCCCCCTTCCCGTCGGAAGGAGCGAGCACTGCGCGTGGGCCTGACCTTGACCCTGATCAGTATCCGAGTCATGCTCCCTCCCGCCTCGTCATCCTCCTCCCTCGTCATCGCCGTCACGGTGTGCCCCGACTGGGGGGCGGTAGGAGGCCCACACGCTCGCAGCAAGCAGGGTAAGAAGTTGCGTCGAAGGTAGCAGCGACATGTTTGCATCCTCCAGTCCAAGGCGGACTATAAGGCTACATGTGTTGTCCGACATTGTGCGCTGCGGTGCAGGACGGTGGATACGCCCACGCAAATGTTCTCAGCAGTGTTGAGCGCTGAGGCGATCATGTCAACATGCTCCTCGTATTTTCCGGACCCTTCACCCACGTCGCAAGAAATTAGGTTTGAGTCCCATCCGCAGGTGTGCGTGTTCAAGAGAAAGTGCACGGGCGCAATTTGCCAGGCACAAAGCAGATGTCAAAGCACATATCGAGGATGCCGGCGGCGCATCACTGGCCGCTCCCTGAGAGTTTGGCGAGTGGTGCGCAGCATGAAGAAGCGTGACGCGGCGCTCATGCTAATCATCTTTGCTGGGAGTGTCTAGTGTTTTTCGGCCAAGCCCGCCACCGTGCTCCTTGGTCGTGGCAAGAAGCCTTTTTAGGAGGCTTCGTGGGATCTCTTGGGAGGCCTCTCGAGGGCATTCTGGAGTAATGGTTGGAGCCTGTCGGGGCCTCTTGGGGCCGCTGGCGGAGTCTTGGGGGCCCGTGGGTGCCTTCCGCGGGCAAGTTGAGGGTCTTCGGGCCGATATTTTGCTGGAAGGCTCCGAAGGCCCGTTCGTTTCCCCCGTGCTGGGCTTTTCTTGGGCCCTCTTGGGAGCCTCCAGGGCCGTATTTGGGTCGTCTTGGGCCTTGTTGGGAACCGTTTTGGAGCGACCTTGAGAGCCTGTTGGGCTGTCTTTTGGAGTGGTGAAGGCCCAAAACATTTGGAAACAAGCCATCTCGGGACCCCCCTGGACTTGTCTCGGAGCCCTTTCGGAGCTCTCGATGCCGTCCGGGAGCGGTCTGGTGGCCGTCTTGGGGCCGTGGATGCACGCCAGTGTGCGGAACCGCGGAGGGACTGCCCGCAGATTGGCGCCCCAGGGAGGGAGTTTCTGCAGGTTTTCACCAGGCACACTCGGTGCTCGACCCCCACCCTGCCGAACAGGGCTGGACCCAGACGCTGTTCTGCTGGACTTCGGCTGTGATTTGTGTTTCGTCTTGGCAGGGAGGTACAGGAAAACAGGCAGAGCAAAACGAAAGACAAAGCGAAAACATAACGAAAAAGAACGTTTAGGTCCAGCCCTGCTCGGGACGATCGAAATCTGTACGGAAAGAATGGGCACGAAGACCGACAGCAGTTCCTGTTCATTTTGAACCGGACTCGCTGTCGGTGTCGCCGCAGCTTGTGTCCATGTGAGACAGAAGGCCTCCTGCCCAACAGCGGCCGCTGATGGCTCGGGACAACACTTGTTGTTGGGCATGGCGGTTGTTGAAGCGTGCGGTCCGCTCCAATCGTTAAAAAAACAAAAAAATGTTGTTGGACATGGGACCCATTCTTGCAGTGCCCACTCCGGGCGTCCAAAACTGCTGCCGAATGGATCGGCGAGCCGCCCTCGTGCGGGGCCCTCGCGAGGGCGCCGCGGCCGCGCCTCGTGCGGGCCTGCGCCCGCCGGGGCGCCGCCCCGGGCGGATCTCGCTCTGGGGCAGCTTCGAGGGGCGTGTTTTCCACCACCACCACAAGCTGGAGGGGAGAAAGAGGGAGGAGGAGGCGGAGGCGGAGGAGGAAGAACACGAGGGGGAGGAGGGGCCCCTCCCTTTTCAACTCATGGTGGTGGTGGCGGTGGAAAGCAGGCCCATCAAGCTTGCCGGAGGGTCGTGGTCTTCCTCCGGGCTTGGCCTCCCGGCTGGGCCCGTTGCCATCTCTCTTTGCTCGGGTTGACCCAAAAGGGGGTCCAGCGACCAGGAGGGTGGTGCAATAGATTTGGTGCAACAGATCTATGGGGTTGCACTACATTTGGGGCGTGCAATACATTCCAGGGCGCAAATGTATTGCTGGATGTTCGCGTGCGATACATTACATGCAACGCAATGCTATACAACCCTCTGGCGCAATACACTTGCAATACAATTGCCCCAAATCTATTGCACCACCCCCTTTCAGCTGGACCCCCTTTTGGGTCACCCAGAGTTGCCCTCTCTCCTTGCTTGCGGCGCCGGCGGCCTTGCCAGAGGAGAAAGAGAAGTGCGGTCGGACCGAGGCATAAGATCGAGATGGGTTCGGGGAGGGTGCCCTAATGTTCATCGTGTTTGTTGGTTGTTCTTGTGCCTCCTGGTGGAGGGTGCCCCCGAAAGGTCCTGCAGTTTGGCCGGTGGAGGGTCTCATGTCTTTGAAGGATGTTTTCTTGTCCTAGGTCCTGTCATAGGTCCAGCTGTATGCACACGCACCGATTCTGGCCAGGCCCATCCTGAGCCCAGGATGGGCCTGGCTGGGATCCGTGCACGTTCAACTTCGCTTCGCCCGACCTGCGGGCTGTCGGGTTTGCCTCTCCTCCTCCCCCCATCTCTCAAGCAGCGGCGAAGCGTCTTGGCTCGCCTATAGCCCCACCAAACAATGTTCTAAGAACCTTTTGTGGTTTCCACGAAATGTTCTTAGAACATTTCTGGCGGAGTCTGTTTTGTTTTATCACATCGGGCTTATGTTCTAAGAACATTGTTTTCATTATTAGAACATTTGTGGGTTCTAACATTTCGTGGTATGAACATAGGAATGCCAGGACGGTCGGTCCCTGCTCAAATCTCGCTTCTCGCGGGCGGCGACCCGGCGGGTCCGTGCCGCTCTTGTCGGGGTTCTTGGCGTGCTCTTTCCGACCAACGTACGAGTGACCTTTCGACAGAGTGACCCCGATCGCTGAACTCGAAGCGGTTGCAGCGATTTGCGCGTCCAAGTTTGGCCACACCGCAACCCCCCCGTCGAGCCGCGCACCAAAGGCCTGGGTCATTGTTGCGTGTGGCCGATTTTTATTGTGCCTGCCGCGAGCAGGAAGAGGGGGGAGAGGGAATGTCAAGAGAGGGAAAGCACGTTGACGTCCCTTTCTCGGCGTTCCCTCTTCCCCTCTTCGACTGCTCCCTCATCACCTGTCTCCCTGCCTCCTGGGTTCTGGATTGGACTGCTCAATCAGGACACCACGGGCTTTACACAGATAATGCGGCCAGAGAATACCCACCCTTATCAGTATTGTGTGCTCCCTCTCCCCATCCTTCCCCGAGTCCTCGCCCACCGCGTTCAAGGCCTACTGTTCTTGCCGCCACCATTCCACGATGTGTTGCGCGTCGCAGTCCTCGCGGTTTCCATTGTGCATTGTATTGTTGATTGGTTGAGTTGAGGGACGAGGAACAAGATAATGCGGAAGAGAACGATATAGCTACAGGACGAGGAAACAGAAGAGAAAAGCAGCCGTAAGGAAGGACTGCAAAAGGGAGGAGGGAGATGAAGAGAAAGGGGAGCGGGAAGAAGATGATTTGGAGGAGGGGGAGGCGTGAGAAAAAAGGAAAAAGGGTAGGATTGAAGAAAAAGCGGGATAAGAGGAGCATGACCAAGAGGCGGAGGAGGAGGATGATGACGTCGATTGCGACCGCGACGTGGCAGAGGATAAGGAGGAGGCGGGGCACATGAGGATAAAGAGTTGAAGAGGAAGATTAAATGAATTTTAAGAAACAGGAGGAGGGAGGAGAAGAGGAAGAGGAGGTAAAGGAGGAAGGAGGAGGGGTGGTGGAGGAGGCCGAGGGAGAAGGCCGAGGGAGGAGGAGGAGGAGGCGGGAGGCGGAGGAGGAGGAGGAGATGGAGAAGGACGGTACGTAAGATAGAGGAGGAGGACGAGGAGGAGGAGGAGCAGCCTACAATCTCAGCGGCACCCCAGGTCATGTTAACAAAGAAGGCAGCGAAGGAGAGTTGGAAAACGCTTCTTCAGAAGTGAGCCTTCGGCCCGCGACCCCGCCTAGGCGGGCCATAGAAGGGACGTTTCCAGGAGGCTTGGTTATTGAAGACTCTCTCGGCTTCCACGGGGAGGAGGTCAACTCTCCTCCTCCTCCTCCCCCGCCTCCTCTTCCTCTTCCCCATCCTCTTCCTCCTCTCCACCACCTCTCTGTCAAGCGCCGAGTAGACTTGCATTGTTCGACGGCTCCGTCGCGTCCAGAGCCCGTGAACGTCCTCTACGGCCAACGTTCCTTCTTCATTATGGCGCCAGAATTATCTACATTTGGAGCGTCCCGCCGCCCTTGGCGTTCAAAGGCGGACCACAGGGGGAGGACCCGCAGCAGGATCCAATTCCCACCTACGATGACATTTTGGCCGCGGGGCGCTCACGCAGACGAAGCGTCTGGCCAGCGACCGTCGTCACGTGAGCGACGGGAAAGCGGAGTCGTCTGCGCCGACATTCGCGCAAGTTTCCCGCGTAAGGTCGCGCGCAAGTGCCATCGCTTCCAGTGCAGCTTCCTGCGCCGGCGGCCCGCGCAAAAGCAACCGCGTGAGGCCACTATGTCATCTCGCGTGTTTTCGTCGCTCGTGTAGAATTCTTGTCCCGTCTTCTGAATTAGGTGGACGCGATGTTGTGGATGCCAGGTTGCTCTCTCGCGGCTGGCTGTGTAGTGCGAAGAGCGGTTTTGAGACAAAGGCGCGACGCTTGGGTCCAGCCAGTTCACCATCATGTGCTGGATTCTAGCTCGCGTGCTCCAACAGGACTGCGCCCTTAGCGATATTTGGACATGTCAGGGGTAAAGCCTTGCTTTTCCCCGATTGGACTTTGCCCACGGGGTCCTATTTGTTCTGCGACGAACCGATGGACGCCACCCCCCGATGTCCAGGTGGGCCCAGGCCTTGCTCGGCTCCCTGGTCTCGGTTTCCTTCCGGCGTTGCTTTGGTTCCCGGTCTTGCTCCTTGGGTTCACCCATTTTTCATCGGTTCCCGGGCTTTGTGATTGATTCACCTGGCTTGCGCCATTCCGCCGACCCCTAGGTTGGGCCCCCATGGGGCATCTGAAGGGGTTCTTGAGGATGCCCTTGGAGGCTTCTTGGGAGCCTCGTGGAAGCCTCTTGGGACCTCTTTGGGCCATCTTGGGGGGAAAGGCTCGACATGTCAATGTGTATTCCGAATTCCCCCTCTTGGTGCCCTCTTGGCTCTCTTTTGGGCCGCTGTGGGAGCCTCTAGAGCCGTCTTCTGGCCCTTTTGGGCTTGTCTTAGAGGCTCCGTAGCCATTTTGGCTCAAACCATTTTGGCTCAAGGTTTTGAGTTTCCCTGGGAAACGAGTGGATACCGCTAGTCCGCGGCTAGTTCCCAAGGGTTTCTACGCACCGCTGTGTGTGCCTCCAGGCGGCACAGCATCGAGTTTTCACGAACACGGACGGTTGTCGATGGCGCCAGATGTCTTTCGGCGACCGCCATGGAGGCAGCAGCCTGCCTCGCGCTACGGAGAGTGGTGGAATCCGAGCGTTTACCCTCCACTTCCTGGATATGTGCCGCCACCGCCGTCGTGGGGAGCGAACACTTGGAGAAAGCGCCAGTTCAGAGCCCAAGTTGAGTGTTCCTCGTGTGGTCGGTGGCTCTTCCAGGACAGGCTCAAAGCGAAGAACTGGACGTGTGAGTGTGGCGCAAAGTTCCAGAAGTCG